AAACCGCCAGGTCGAAAGCAGGAGAACGCCAAAACAAGCCACTGAACCCTAGTACACGTACTAGTAGCAGTCGCAGAAGCAGTAGCAACAGTAGTAGTAGTAGTAGTAGTAGTAGTAGTAGTAGTAGCTAGTAGAAGTAGTCGTCGTCGTAGTAACAGTGATTACGCTCCCCGATCTGTCGTGCAAATGTGGCAAAAGGCAGTGTAAAAGTAGTGAGTCGCAACAAGAAACACAGCGTCAAATAAGGTACGTACGCCTAGTAGTAGTAGTAGTAATAACAGTAGTAGTAGCAGCAGTAGAAGTAGTAGTACAGTAGTAATAGATGCGCGAGGATTTGGTTTTGATATGTGGTATAATTGCTCACCTCACCGAGCTTTGTGCTGTAGTTGGGGTTGCCCACTGCCAAGTACTGAACAACGTGACCCGGGCAGGCAACTTCGGACTCCTTTTCTGCGTCCTCGCTGATGCAGTCGAAGTGTCTGTGCACGGGGCAATACACGCAATTGCTGTCACTTGGGAAACAAGAGAAGTATAACGTTTACTATTTGTGCCTTTCGCTTCGTGCTCTTTGAGCTCGTGGCTTTGGCTTGACCTTGACTTGAGCCAAACATTCGCCGGAGTTACATAGATCATGGGGTAGCGCAAGGCTTCCACCATGTTTCTTGCCATACGGATATACATCTCACAGCTATTCCACATGGATGCCCAAGGCAGTCCATATGACGGATGACGATATTGCACTAGGCATCGAGGTCTCTTCACACCCCCCATGAGAGAAGCCTCCAGCTTTACTCACGAAAAGAAGAGAGTAGTGAGACCTGGAAAGAAAAGACTCAACGGCGAGCGTTTGTAATGTTGCGTGTGTAACTGCCCGACTAATCGCTGCGTGAAACATAACTACGTCGGATGCGATCCCCGGCTTCGGTGAAAAGTGAAGGGAAGCATTCAAAGAAATATGCGCCTTCAATAGAACCGAAAAGGTCCTGGCCTGCAGCAGCACACGAAGTCCGCTGGGATCGCAATGTTTTCTCTGCACTGAAGCTCCGTAGCGTTTCTGGGTCTTAAGTCCCTCCCTTGCGAGGAAATGGCATCAAAGAGAAAGAGATGCCTTCGCTCACAAATCAGCTGTGCACACCGATGCCGAATGCCTGGCAGGCTTTCACACGGGGAGGAAAAGGAGGTGAAGAACACAGCGCACCTTCGGTGCAGCTGTCCCTTGTAGACTGAAGAAAGAAAGAGAAGCCAAAAGCGTTTTCGGCTCGCATCGGTGCCACTGCTTTGTTGAAAAGTGTTCCCTCAGCCTTGGCCTGGCCACTGGCAGTCTCTGCACAAAGTGAGACGGCGTTGTCCATGCCCTCGAATGTGTCCACAATCCGAGGAGGCGTGAACACAGGTTCCCCTTGTAGTGTTCGTCACGAAAACTGCTTCGGGAAGCCGTAGGCGAGGCTGGGGCCGAGGTTGGGAAGCAGGAGGAGGTTGCCCTTGGCGTTCACGCATGAGCTGGATCAGCTCCAACTGGCTGCGGTTGGACCTTTGAAGCTTCATCATCTCGTTTTGCAAGTACTCGTTCTCCGACTCCAGCTGTCCAACGTACATCTCCATTGTCATTTTCTCAGTGTCTCCAGTGGTCTGGGTCCCGGTGGTGACGAAGTTCTCGTGAACCTCCGAGGGGTCCGGTGGGCCGCGCTGGCCCTTGTTCCACCACTTCCACACGCAGGCGATGACGAGGAGAGTGCACCCAAAGAAGACGAGGAGCGCCAGCACCTTGTTGAGGTCGTAGTCGATGTACAGCATGTAGGCTCCCAGGTCGTTCGTGTAGTAGCGGGCTGTGTCAAGGTCCCCGAAGTCGGTCGCCGCGTCGCCCGCAGCGCACAGGGAGTTCACGGCCAGCACCTGGGCGATCTTCCTCGCCACTTGGGAGCCGTAGGCACGGTCAGAGGCCGTCTTCTTCTTCGCCGCAAGGAAGTTCGGGTCGAAGTGAAGACAGATTCTCCCGGAAGCCAGCTTCTCAACCATGGACTGCCTTGCACCTATCTTTGTGAGCCCGTCGGCCAACATCACTTCTGAGCTCACCCATCGGACTTTTGCTCCTTGTCTCTCCAGCTCCTCCTGGATGCAGATGATCTCGACGCCGGTGCGTTTGTCGTGCTGGCTGTTGAATCCTGGGCGCTTCAGTGCGTCGTACAGCGCCTTGGCACCCACAACAACAGCTGCCTCGCCAACCCACCTTGCTGTCACTGGGTCCTTGGGGTCCTGGCGGGGGTCCAGCATCATTGATATCATCGTTCGAAGGAGCATCATCTCATCGACGGCAACAGAGCATGCCTGGGCTTCAGCACTGAGGCTGCTCCTGCAGACTCGTGGCAACTTAAAGGATCGCCAACTCATGATGTTGTAGTCAGCCTGCTCTCCTTGTAGGGCCTTCTTGTGGGTCAGCAGGATCATGAAGCCGCCCTGGGATGATCCGTCTGGCCTCACACCATACGCAGCGTCACTGAAGCAAAGGAAACATAGTTCATGTCGTGGTTGAGGCCGTGCACGCGGATCTCGTAGTCACTAGTGTTCTTTGCGAAGCGCAGGGCCTTGTTGAGGTCCAGCAGGAGGTCGTGCTCGCCCTTGTCGATGTCAGCTGCGAGGATTGAAACCGTCGCCGAAAGTGGTGGCAAACCCTGCACAGCCGGCCACTGGAGTGCTCCAAGAAGTCCGCGGGCCTTGGAGGTGTCCTTGCTGGTGAGCTTCTGTGAAGCTCCTTGTCCTTTGGGGATGGTGATGGGGTGCACTTCTTGAGGTAGTCGGCATAGCTGAGGGCCACACCATCAGAAGTCATCTTGATCTTGCTGCCGCAGTAGACGATGGAGTGCTCCAAGGTGAGCTCCTCCCACTTGCCAAAGTTGAAAGCACTCCGCAAGTTCTCCAGGGCAACTGCAAATTCCTTGTGGTACTTCGCGCCTGTCACCAACAGGTCATCGACATGCAGCACCAGGCATCCAAGGAGGTTGCCATCAACCGAGTAGTAGCAAAACAGACATCGGTCTAGAGGATGGACTTGCTACTTGATGGCACGTAGTCTGCGGGTTGCTTCTCGGTGCCACAGGAGAGGGGCGTCGGCTAGCCCATAAGCGGATTTCAACATCCTCATGTAGGTGGGGCCTTGGTCCATGCATCCAAGCAAAGGTCCGCAATCGGCCGGCAACTTCACGATAATCTTCCTGTCAAAGTTCGCGCCGGAGAGGAAGGCCGTCTTCACATCGCCGTAAATATGGTCCACTGCATGATGGGGGCCAGTACAGCGCAAGGATCACGAACTTCGCCTGTTTGGTTGGTGTCGGGGAGGCCTTCTCCAGGTCAAAGACGTCAGGATCCTGAAAAACTCGAAGAACCAACCTGGCCTTAGCCTTTGGCGGGCCTCCCTCGGTCGGGGTTTTCCAGTTCAACACCCACCGTGCTGTCACAACCCGATCATGCTCTCCAGGAAGTAGAGAAGTGAACTCCCACACGGCATTGTCGAAGTAGCTGGTGAGCTCGGCCTTCTTCGCGACAATCATCTTTTACCTCTCCTCGACGTTCATCCGCTTCTCACTGGTCTCCCTGGCCAGCCAAGCCTCGGCCATTGCCAAGCCCCCGTCTTAATGACCACCCATCCATTTGGCAGCTTGCTGTCACCGGCATCGGTCACGAAGACATCGTCCAAATAGAGGTCCTCGTCATCCTCCGGCACCGGCACATTGGTGTGGTCGGGCTCCGTCGGCACGTGACTGGCAGTCGCGGCTCCAGGGGGAAGAGAGGAAGAAGCAGCAGAGGCATCCTCCGTTTTGGGAGCGTTTGGGCGCCGGTACGGAGGCGCTTGGGCGACTCCGGGGCGGGAGCGTCGACAGATACC